TTCGCCATATCTCTCTCTCTCTCTCTCTCTCTCTCTCTCTCTCTCTCTCTCTCTCTCTCTCTCTCTCTCTCTCTCTCTCTTTCTCTCTCTCTCTCCCCCTCCTACTAACCCACTTACCTTGGCGCGGCAGCGCGATGGCGGGCGTGGGCGGGCGTCGGGGGGCGACGAGGGCGTTGGCGGGCGTTGGCAGGCGTTGGTGGGCGATGGCGGAGCTCTGTCGAAGTGACCCGTTGGGGGCCGAAGTGACGCGTCGGGCGGGAAAGGCCACGGGGGAGAGGATGAGGGCCGATGATTCCCTCTTTGAACAATTCAAAATCGCTGCCCATCTGGGCCGTCAATCCTGGAGATCGGCCCCGATTTCAAATTGTTGAAATCGGCCCTACCGGCCCTTTTTTTTCGGTTTGTTGGCCTCGGCGGCCTCCTTTGGGGGGAAGAAGCCCCCCCGCGGCGAAAACGGCCCGAACCCCCCCCCCTTCTGGGATGCGCTGGGGTCGCCCGTTGGCCAACCAGGCGGAACAACCGGCCAGGCAGCCCGCCCCACCCCCCGGGCGACGACCAGGTTGCCGGGCGGCCCGGGGTTCAGCCTAGCAAAAACCTGGTTTTCGACAGCCTGTGGCGAGCCTCTCTGTCTGATGCTTGCTGTCTGAGTCTCTGTCTTTGTACTAACTCTATTCTTGCAGTGTTTCTGTTTCCTGGGTGGAGCAGAACAGAAAATAGGTGTAGTTGCAGGGGTAGGACTGAAACTTGGATGATAGAAGGACTCGGGGAAAGTTTAGAACAGGTACCAACGGGCCTAGCTCTGCTGGTACACCCACGAACTGTTGAATCACAGACCCGAGTTCGAATCCAGATTCAATCAGATGACCAGAATAAAATTGTCCTGAATTACCTGGGGCCGGCCAGTTCAATGATGATATCTCAAGGCCATGGCCCCTTCTGAAAAAAGGAAAAAGACCAACTGGCCTAGCTCAGTTAGTATACACCCGAACTGTTGAAATGCTTTCCAAGGTCGAATTCCACTGCAAGCAGATGAGTGAAATACTACAATTCTGAATTACCCAGGGCTGGTCAGTTCGATGATGATATCTCAAGGCCGTCGGGGTGTAACTCCTAAAAACAAAAAAAAAAAAAGGAAATTTCAAATTTTAGAATAGACAGGGACGTTCCTATGTATTCCATTGACTTGCCGGGGGAATAGGAACCTGACTGTTGCTCCCCACTGTCCCCAGAATGGCAGGAGCCAGAACCAAGAATAGACAGGGACGAGGCGAATGTTTTGAGGTATCCACTGTCCAGTAGTCGTAATCCAGCAACTTGGGCCGGAGGCCTGGTGGGTATGGGTCCAGCAGGTAGGACGACAGTCTGCAATGCTGGAGCCAATAGGCCAGGCGGCACTCCCTCTGGGCCCAGGAGTGGGCCCAGTTGGGAAGCAAGAGGTTGCTTGGTACTCACTCCGCAGGAATGAGCAGTCCTGGTACTAACTCCAGTCATGCTGCTGCTCTGCCCTAAGGGAGAGTGAGGTGGAGCCGTAGATGGGGGAAGGAGGAGCTGAGGGAGGGGAATAACAGTGTCCTCTCCATGGCTATGGGGGAATAAGAAGTAGTAGGGGGGAGAAGGCCTAGGCTGTGGAGGTAGGTGGAGGAGAAGAGTGAGGTAGAGGAGGAGGAAGGAGGGAACCCTCAAGAGAGACTTACCTTTCATTATGATAGACTTTCATCTCCATATCCTTCGTTGGCACTGCATCCAGAAGCCCCTTGCTGGGGCACCGGTTGGACATGGACCATCCGGAAGTGTGTGGCTATGGCGGTAGGAAGGAGACGGAGATGAGCTCGGAGGGAGTGTGTTGTCTTTTGAACATCTGTGCTAAATAAGGATGAACCACCATAACTAGTTGATTCAACCAGATGGAGAGGTGAGGGAGAGAGGGCGAAGGAGAGCGCTTTGAGTGCTGGCGGTGAAGGGGATGGATCCTTGGCCATTCATTTATTCATTCATTGTTGTATTTAATAATTTTAATTGTCAATAAGAGGATATGGTGATTATGTTAATGGCTGATAGTGACAGGGAAAGGAGGGAGATTATGGGCCTCGCCACACTACTCCCGACTTGGGGAAAAAAAAGTCATTTTCAGGAGGGCGTCATCGCCACACCAACTCCCGACTTGGAGATGTCAGAATGCATTCGGGGGCAGTTAGAAATTTGCATTCGAGGGCACTCCCGCACCAGCTTGGGACTCCCGCCTGCAAATGGCCATTTTCTTGACACCTCATGCGG